ACTAGACAGAAAATACACAAAGAAACAACACAGCTAATCTACACTATGGACCAAACGGACCTAACTGATGTCTGCAGAACATTTCATCTGCTGTTGCGGGATACACATTCTTTTCATCATTGCATGAAACTTTGTCTAGGATAGACCATATGATAGTCCATAAAGCAAGTTTCAGCAAATTTTAAAAAATTTAAATCATACCATGTATCTTTTCTGACCACAAAGGAATGAAGCTGGAAACTAACTACTTAAGAAACTCTGGAAAATATACAAACACATGGAGACTGAACAACACGTTCTTGAATGAACAGAGGGTCATAGAAGAAATCAAAAAGGAAATAAAAAAAATTCCTGGAAATGAATGAAGATGACAACACAACATAGCAAAACTTGTGGGACACAGCAAAAGCAGTGTTAAGAAGGAAGTTTATAGCAGTGAATGTCTATATCAAGAAATTGGAAAGGCATCAAATAAATGATCCATTAGTGCATTTCAAGGACATGGAAGAACAACAACAAAAGAAATCCAAAATTAGTAGGAGGAAAGGAATAATTAAAATTAGACAAGAAATAAACAAGCACAACTGAAACAAAAAATGATACAGAAGATCAGTGAAATGAAGAGCTGGCTTTTTGAAAAAATAAACCAAATTGACCCACCATTGGCCCAACAAACCAAAAAAAGGGGGTGGGGGAAAAGACCAAAATCAATAAAATCAGAGATGAAAAAAGAGATGTAACAATGGGTACCACAGAAATAAAAAGAATCCTCAGGAATTACTACAAAAGTTATATGCCAATAAATTGGAAAATCTAGAAGAAATGGATAGATTTCTGGACATACACAATCTACCAAAATTGAGTCATGAAGACATGGAAAACCTAAATAGACCAAAAACCAAGATGGAGGTTGAATCAGTAATGAAGACCCTCCCAAGAAGAAGCTCAGGATCAGATGGCTTCTCTGCTGAATTCTACCAGACTTTTAAAGAAGAATTAGTTCCATTCCAATTCTCAAATTATTCAAAACAATTGAAAAGGAGGTAATCATCCCAAACTCCTTCTACAAGGCCAGCATCACCTTATTTCCAAAACCAGAAAAAGATACAACAAAGAAAGAGAACTATAGACCAATATCACTGATGAACACAGATACAAATATCTTCAGCAAAATACTAGCTAATCAAATTCAACAACAATCAGAAAGATCATTCACCTGGATGAGAAGGGATTTATACCTGCTAAGAAGGGATGCTTCAACATATGTAAATCAATAAATGTGATATGTCACATTAGAAGATTGAAGAATTAAAAACCATATGACTATCAAAATAAATGCAAACAAAGCATCTGATAAAATAAAACACCCTTTCTTGATAAAAACCTCAAGCAAATTGGGTATAGAAGGAACAGTCCTTAACACAATCAAGGCAATATATGACAAACCCACAGCCAATATATTGAAAAGTTGGAAGCATTTTTACTAAGATCTGGAAGCAGACAAAGATGCCCACTTTCACCATTGCTATTCAATATAATCTGGAAATTTCACCCAGAGCCATTAGGCAAGAAAAAGAAATCAAAGGAATACAAATTGGAAAGGAGGGATTCCAAGTATCCCTGTTTGTAGATGACATGATTCTATATACAGGGGAACAAAAAGACTCCATTAAAAACTATTGGGACTCATAAGAGAGTTTGGTAAAGTTGCAGGATATGAAATCAACACATAAGAGCACTTTTACACACAGTAGCATTTTTATACACAAACCACAGCATGAATGAGAAAGAACTCATAAGATCAGAACCATTCAAAATAGCTACAATTTTTTTAAAGATTTATTTATTTATTTGAAAAGCAGAGAGAGAGAGAGGTCTTCTATCTGCTGGTTCACTCCCCAAATGGTCATAATGGCTGGAGCTGGGCAGATCTGGAGCCAGGAGCTTCCTCCGAGTCTCCCACATGGATACAGGGGCCCAAGGACTTGGGCCATCTTCTACTACTTTCCCAGGCTGTAGCAGAGAGCTGGATCAGAGGTGGAGCAGCAGGATGTGAACTGGTGCCCATACGGGATGCCAGCACTGCAGGCAATGGCTTTTCCGACTATGCCACAGTGGCAGCCCCTACAAAATTTATTTTTAAATACTTTGGAATAACCAAATATGTAAAAGATCTCTACAATTGAAATTATAAAACATTGAAGAAAGAAGAAGACACAAAAATGGTGAAAATCTTCCATGTTCATGGATTTGAAGAATTAATATTATTAAAATGTCCATACTACCAAAAGCAATTTACAGATTCAATGCAATCTCAATCAAAAAACCAAGGCAGCTGTTCTCAGATCCAGAAAAAAAATGATGCTAAAATTCATATGGAAACACAAGAGACCCCTAATAGCTAAAGCAATCTTAAACAACAAAAAGAAAGCCAGAGGCATCATAATGCCAAACTTCAAGACATACTACAGGAGGCTGGCACTGTATCACAGTGGATTAACCCCAGGCCTGCAGTGGCAGCATCACATATGGGTGCTGGTTCAAGTTCCAGCTGCTCCACTTCCAATCCAGCTCTCTGCTATGGCCTGGGAAAGCAGAACATGGCCCAAGTCCTTGGGCCCCTGCATCTTGGTAGGAGACCTGAAAGAAGCTCCTAGATCCTGGCTTTGGGTCAGCTCAGATCTGGCTGTTGCAGTCATATGGGGAGTGAATCAGCAGATGGAAGACCCCTCCTCCCTCTCTCTGGCTCTGTCTTTCAAAGAAATAAAATAAACATTAAAAAAGACATACTACAGGCCAATTATAATCCACACAGCCTGTACCAGCACAAAAACAGACAAGTAGACCAACGGTACAAACTAGAAAACCCAGAAATTAATCCACCCATCTACAACCAACCAATCTTTGATTAATGAGCTAAAATCAGTCCTTGGAGAAAGGATAGCCTCTTCAACGAATTGTGCTCGGATAATTAGATCTACATGTGCAAAAGTATGAAACACAAAACTACATTACGCCTTATCCAAAAATCAACTCAAAACTGATCAAGGATCTAAATATTTGTACTGATGCCACCAAATTACTAGAGGAAAACATCAGAGAAACTCTGCAAGATATTGGCTTAGGCAAAGAGTTCTTGGAAAAGACCCCAGAAGCACAGGCAATTAAAGCAAAAATAGACAAACGGGATTACATCAAGTTAAGAAGCTTCTGCACTGCAAAGGAAACACTCAATGAAATGAAGAGGCAACTGACTGAATGGGAAAAATATTTGCAAACTATGCAACTGATAAAGGATTAAAATCCAGGATCTATAAAGAGCTCAAGAATCTCAATAACAAAACAAAGAACTCAGTTAAGAAATGGGCAAAGGACATGAATAGGCATTTTTCAAAGGATGAAATTCAAATGGCAACAGAAACATGAAAAAATGCTCAGAATCACTAGCCATCAGGGAAATGTAAATAAAAACCACAATGAGGTTTCACCTTACCACAGAATGGCTATCATCAAGAATCAAAATCAATAAATACTCTAATCCACTAATCCTAATCCACTGTTGGGTGGGAATACAAACTAGTACAATCATTATGGAAGACAGTATGGAGAATCCTCAGAGATCTGAAAATAGATCTACTATATGATCCAGCCATTCCACTCCTGGGAATTTACCCAAAGGAAATGAAATCAGCATGTGAAAGAGTTATTTGTCCCTCATGTTTATTGTAGCTTAATTCACAATAGCTAAGATTTGAAATCAACCTAGATGTCCATCAACTGTGGACTAGATAAAGAAAATGTGGTATATACACACTATGGACTACTACTGCGCCATAAAAAAGAATGAAATCCTATATCCTGTCTTTGAAACAAAATAGATGCAAATGGAAATCATTATGCTTAGTGAAATCAGCCAGTCTCAAAAAGACAAATATATGTTTTCTCTGATATGTGGCAGTTAATATAGAATACAAAAAATGTATAGGAATGAAACGGTGACTTTGGGATATGATTGTGATTTTTAACCCTTGTATATAATCCTGTGAAACTGTGGTCTTCCTCCTTTTTACTTGTGGAGTATTATGATAAGTGGTGAATTAAGCCTGCTAATACAGAGTGGATTGAAATTATCTTTGCAAAAACTGATTAAGAGAGGGGAGGGAGGGATATTGGGGGGATCAGGGGAGTGAGGGAAGTGTGGTTGTCTTCTTGGAACTGTACCTATGGAATGCACAAAATCTGTTCTGTTGATATTAATCTTAAAATTTTTAAAAAGAAAAAGATGAATTCTGTAAAGCCTGTGTCTATTTCCAAGACTGTGCCATCCCCTCTGGTTTCTTTCCAAAAAAAAAAAAAAAAAAAAAAAACCAAAAACAAACAAAAAAACAACCCCGGAACAGATTGCAGAAATGCCACCTTCCCAAGAACCAATTCAGAGAAAAGGCACGTGGTCATCTGGCATGAATGCTTGTGCTTCATCATGTTGAGAAAATCCATTCCCTGGCCATTTCCATTGCAGAGGGAAAGGGGGTTCTGCAAATAAATATTTACTCCTTCTTTTATGCCCACATCACAGGAGGGAATGTTCAGCGTCTCCCAAGGGTCATCACAACACACAGCACCGCTTCCTGTGTCAGTCAGCCCAGGGGATCCGTTTGCTCTCTTAACAAACATTTCAATGTCATCATTAGGAAGGATCATATGGCCACGAGCATAGCAGCTTGACAGAGAATTTTACTGATGTGTGTTTGGATGGTTCTTTTGAGTTTTATTTGAATTTTCGCCCAAACCTTGATATATTTTGGGCTCAAGCTTCTGGATGTGTGTGAAGTTAATTTGCATGTGTGATCTCAAAGGAGCGATTTAGAGTAGAGGCTAAGGATCAGCCTGAGCTTCCCTTGCTCTGTACCCCTTTCAGCCAGCTCAGCTCTCATGCGCCCACCCGGAGGTGGGGTGAGGGGAAGCAATGCAGATATGGGAGGGGTCCCGTGGGCTCTTACCTCTGGAGCAATGTAGTCTGGAGTTCCACAAAAGGTCTTGGTTGTCACCCCATCCCAAATGTTTTCCTTACACATGCCAAAGTCAGCGATCTTGATGTGTCCCTCGGAATCCAGCATCACATTGTCAAGTTTCAGGTCACTGTGGCAGACAGAGAATTCAGGGTTTTCAGGAAATGCAACCAACAAGTCAACCAACAGGCACTCATTCTGCACAACAGTACCAGATGCTGTAGGGGCACAAAGGAAGATGTGAACCAGCCCTTGTCCTGGGGCAACTTGCAATCTAGCGGGGAGATTAAAAAGGGGTCTGTTTTCTACATGGCTAGACATGCTAAACATCTCACAAGGACACCATAGCAACAGCTACAAGAAGCAGGAGATCCAGATGGTTAAACAAAGGGCAGAGCTTCCAATAGACAGCTCAACAAGTTCACAGAAAATGCGTGTTCTTAAAAGAACTATGCATGGACTTCAAAACATGTTTGCACAATAAATAAATTATCTTTTTAATGCCAATTTCCCACAAACTTCAAAAACATCTTCAGGAATTCACAAGGAAAATGGATATTTTGACAATTTTTAATTTTTTTACTGATTTATTTTCATTTTATTTAAAAGACAGAGAAACAGAGAGAGATCTTCCATCTGCTAGTTCACTCCACAGATGCCTACAATAGCAGAGGCTGGGCCAGGCTGAAGCCGGGAGCCAGGAACTCAATCAGGTCTCCCACATGAGTGGCAGGAGCTCAATACTTGAGCCATTCCTGCCCCCCAAGGTGGGTATTAGCAGGAAACAGGAATTAAGAGCAGAGGCTAGACTCGAACCCAGACACTCTGATATAAGACTCTCAAGCTATGTCTTAACCCATAGGCCAAATATCTGCCCCCATGAACTTTATGAATTATCTCAAATTAGCTGTGAACAAACTAGATATGCATTGTGTTCTTATTCAGATTAAATATCGGAAAAAGACAATTAGCGGGTATTCAGATCTATAAACATGATTATTATCGATCCTGATCAGTGGTATGAAGAAACTAGCAGGGATAATGAGGTAGTAACTGGGGGAGGTTACTTTACACATGTGTCACCTGGACCTCTCTAAGGTGGGGACAGCGAGCTTTCACCAAAAGGATATGTGTTACACTTTCAACTCTTTTATTTCTATCTGTGTTGCTGAGATAGACTGGGGGGCTTGCAGAGATTTGGGGGAACTCTTGCACATCTCCAGCATATAAGATCACTCCAATACCAACACACTTTTCTCCTCCAAAAACTCCTAGTGTCAGCACTCGGCACGTTTTAGCACCAGTGAAGTGAGAGTGAGCTCTGGGGTTAGACCACCCCCGTTCTCATGGAAGATCGGGATGTCCGGCTGCCGGAGAGGTGGATCTGCTCAACCCAGAAGTCTACGTGGTGGACAAGTGAGGCTTCTTCTAATCTAATTTTTTGTGATAGCATCATTCTAACATTCCTTTGAAAAACTAACCTTTCTTCATTCTCAAACCATGTAATATGGGTGGTGCTGGTGTCAACTCCTGACTTCAGAAATAGTTGTGTAGGCCTATCCTGACTGAATGGGAAAAATGTTTACTTCTTTCTGCAAGTCATGGTGAGTGGCTCAGGATCGGGCAAGTGACTCCGTCTGAGCCAATGAAAACCATCGAGTCTGACAACCAAGACAGGGTATGTCTGACAACTTCTTTCCTATTTAACTTGAGAACTGCTTGATGAACTAGAGATCTGAATGAAGAGAGGGAGTGATTTGTAAGATTTTAAGGGACTTTATCACCATGAGGGCAATCTCTATGAAATTATAAAGCTGTACATCTTCTGCATACACGCTTTTCAAATTTGTATTCACTTACGAATTTCAAGAACTCTGTCCCAGCTGAGATGCTTGATGGCAAACAACAAGCCGACTCTGACAGTTTTAAACTGGGAAGGAATTTATAAAGGAAGGTAGGGGAGCACGTGTCGTCTCCAAGGAGGTTACGGCACAAGATTAGGTGACTATATAGCCAGAAGCAACGCCTAAGGGCAATGCAAAGCTAGCCCAGTGAAGACACCGCTAATGCTTCCCATGGACACACACTTCGCTCTGGTTCCAGGAAGCCTTCCCAGGGGCACTCTGCATGTGCCTGCTCAGAACCAGGACCTCCCTCCCTGCAGCTGCATCTGTTTGCCATTCTCAGTGTTGCCGTCTCTGCTTCCTTGGTGACTGGCTTTTGATTCAAGGTCTTGGGTAAATGTGACGGTGTCAAGTATCAGGTTGTGTGCCTGCTCTTGCAACAAGGAAGCTGTGAAAGTGCGTATCTGGCATTTTCAATCTGTACAGTCGGAGATGGGCTCTATCCTTACACACAAAAGAAAAGGGCTTAGGTGCTGACGGACTTAAAGATTGATAAATGTGCCTTTAAAAACTTGTGATGGTGGAGGATGAAAGAGGGGATTTAGACAAGTTAACAGAAAGGGCTTCAGCGTAGGTATGAGATGCTAATCTTTCTGTTTTATGACCTGACTGGTCCATGGATCCCAGATCCAGATCCACTTCCCTCTTAGATTGGAAGGGCTTCCTGAATCCTAATCCAATCGGCCGGAACTTTAATTATTTGTTTTCCTGGCTCTTCCTATTCTGGGACTGGTATTTCTTCTAATACACTTGCAGTTATATATTTAATTTTCTGGAGATCCTGGTTGGTTCTATTCTAGTGGAGGCACATTCTGCATAGGAGTTAGGTCCTAACATCAGCACATAAAGTAGAAGTCAAGCAGAGTGAAAAATTTCCTACAAGCCCTGTTTCTTTGGTTAAACATCAACTGAAGTCATTGATTTGACTTTAGAGGTCACGTCTTATGGAAGATCATGTGTACCCACCAACACCAGAAGTACTTTTAGCACAAAATGATGCATCACTGTGAGAGTCAAAAGGGAAACTGAGGTTATTAGGGGGTCCATATGCCCAATCTCACACTCTCATGGCAGCATATGTTCACTGGGGAAGGCATGGACAGAACGATCTACCGAAGTTGTGAATTCTTTTTCCCTCTGTGTCTATACCTTCACTGAATCACCCAGGCACTGGGTACAACTGCTCCTCTTCCTGAGAACAGTGGGGACTCTGCACACTCAGCCTATGATTGTCCCTCCTTCACATTTCATATCACCACTTCAAGGAGTCAGTAAAAGCCCCCAGACTCTGCAAGTTTCTGACAAGCCTCCACCTTCCATCTGTCCATTCTACCAGCACCCATAGACTCACCTCCACTCTCCACCTGGAAACTCCCAGGGCTACTCTCCCAGAGACCCATGACTCCCAAGTCACCCCTAACTCTCCAGACCCTGACCACCCAACTCTCCTACAGAATGAGCGGCAACCTTGCAGCACACAGCTCCCACTGGTCCTCACTTCTGCTTGGCTTTTCTCCATAGCACGCATCACTACATGACAGACTACATGCTGATCATTTATATGGATTTCCTCCTACCACCAGACTGCAAAGGTCAGGGCTTTTGTCTGTTTTCTTCTACCCAGAATAGTGACATGCACATAGTAGGCTTTTGATAAATATTTATTGAACAAACAGATGAAACGGACTTTTATGGCACTTCATGGTCTTTTAACTAGACCATCACCCCGGGGCCAAATGCCGTTTGGAAGTCCCATGTCCCTGCCAGATTCTCTTGCATAACAAAGCAGCCCAAGCATGCGCTGACTGTGCCATTTGCATCCATGTAGTGCAATGAGAATTGCACACCCCGGACTCACTGACAAATAGCAGCCTCGGGCTCAGTAGTCTGTCTTGCATGAAATATAAAATGGTATGACTCACACAGCCACAATCGTACACTTGCTCCTCCAAAAACCATCAAATGCCAAGTCCTGAACTTAATCCTGTCTTTCAGGGCAAGCTACTCAGAGATCTATTTCCAAATTGTAGTTACACAGCAAGAGAAAAAATTGTTTCATAATAACACGATCCTGATCCACTGCACTCTGCCAGCCAAGATTCTTTGCTTACTCCCCGAAGGTGGGCTCCACAGGCAAGAGGAAGAAGTATCGGGACCTCCTTTGGTGAGGCTCCTACCCTTAGGGCAAATAGTATCATGTTTGAGGCCCCAAACCATCCCCGGTGACACAGTCCATCAAGATCTTTCTATTGCCATATAGAGCCACCCAAACCTTGCCAGGGCAGTGGGCGATGCTGCCTGGCAGAACACATGCCCAAGTTAGTACTGGAGGATTCCTCCCCCACCAGGGATTCTAATTTTAAAAGCAGTTGACGAAGGAGGCAGGGAAGGGAGGAGCAGAGAGAGACGAGGAGATGGAAGGACAGCAGTGGTCACTTACCGGTAAATGATGCCCTTGCTCTGTAGGAAGAACAGACCGATGGCAATTTCTGCAGCGTAAAATCTGAAATTAAAGAAAGAAGGGATGGAGAGTTTCAAGGATGTTATATGCTTGGCAACTCTCAGAATTCAATACAATATTGAATTAGGCATAGGGCATGAAACTCCCACCACCAACGGTCTGCTGCTTGTCTCCAAAATTTCAAGGAGGATGAGGTGGGGGTGAATGGGGTGGTTTAGAGAGGTCTCCTTGAAGGAAAAATGGAGCTGAGCAGGGGTTCAGTAATTGCACAATGGGAGGGGGCCAAGGGATAGGATGGGCCGGATGGAGAACGACTGTTGCAGGCTATAGCAAGTTAAAATATTCTAATAATACCAAGCCACCTCTTTGGAAGGCTTATTGTCTACCTAGGGCATCATTTTAAACAAGATCTGATTTAATCCTAATAATAATCCCATGTGGTAGGTCCTCCCTGCTCTTCAAACTGAGGCTTAGAGAGATGAAGTCACTTGATCAAATAATACACGTGGGTGCTTTACAAAATTCATGGGAAACAGAATTAGAAGATAAGTTTATCTTGGTGCAAAAAAAAAATGTTAAATACATGCATAGGAAGGGTCTTCAAAAAGTTCATGGAAAGTGCATATACTGGAAAAAATATGTCTGGGTTTAATAAGTTTGCCCTAAAATTGACTCTTCTTTTAATTACATTTTTCTATGAATGCTTTGCAGTACTTTGGGTTTCAAACAGTAGGCAGATAAATGGAATTAAAAGAACGTGCATTTTCCATGAGCTTTTTGAAACCCTCTCGACTAGCTAATGAATGGCCCAGCTGAGACTGGAAATAGCATCTGTCTAAAGTATAACTTTTTACTAAAGGCCCACCCAGAAAGGAAGAGGTAGATTTTTAAAATATTATTTATTTATTTATTTATTTATTTGAGAAGCAGCGAGACAGCGCCCATCCATGGACTCACTCCCTAAACAGCCAGAGTGGCCAGGCCTGGGTCAACGTTGAGCTAGGACAAAGCTAGGAGCCTGGGGGCAGGAATCTGATCACTTGAGTCGTCACTGCTGCCTTCAGAATCCACAATAGCGGATGCTGGAGTCAGGAGCCGCACCAGTACTGAGCATAGGCATTCCAATACGCGATGTGGGCATCTTAACCAGTGCTTAACTACACGAATGCCGGCCCCAGAAAGGTTTTGAGGGAGCTAGAAAGCCCAGTTATAGGGTCTCAAGGCTTTCTGAGCATAGGTCTTATGTGATAATCAAATTAAAGCCCAGAGCCAATTAAATGTCAGAATTCAAAGAAGAGCCAACTCAGAAAGTCCCTTAGAATTGTGCTAAGAGATGTGAATGGTTTGACTTGGAAGAATAAGAACACAAACCCTACTGAAACAGAGTGGGCATAACCCCAGCAGGTGGGAGGAGAAGTGACAGGCTAACCTGGGCAGGAGCCACCCAGCCACTGGAATGACAGGGTTGGGTCCCAGGTGAGCCCTGAGGATTCTCTGGGTTGGAGTGGGGGGCACTAAGATCTCAGCAAACTCCCTAGGAGGGGCTATCGTGATAATTCTATCACCTGCCACAACCCTGTTCACTCCCAGGGGCGACAGGTGAGTAACATGACGAGGTCTAACGAGACTCAGCTTGCTTTGTGAACTGAAGGGGACAGAAAGGACTTAGCAGGAGAAACACGTTTTCCAAAATCAGTCTCCCCATCCCAGGAGCCACAGACAACTGTTACCTGTCAACTTGGTCCTTCATGTCCTAGAGGCAATAGGATGGAAGACAGAGCCAAATAACCTGGGTCAGAATTCTTTCTGGACCAGCCTCATACTAGCTCTGGGATCTGAGCAGGTTTCTAAACCTCTGCAGTGTTCAGTTTGTGAAGAGAGGATAACACCTTCTTCTTGAGTTGTCCTCAGGATTAAATGAGACCTTGTTTGTTAAACACTTGAGACCTAGCACATAGTAAGCTCTCCACACACTTTAGCAGGTGAACAGGGACAAGAACTGGAGACAAAGAAATCACTATGGTTCATAGCCTCAGGTTCTTAGCTGGTGTCAGGAAGACAGGAAGCACTCCCACACCGAGTAGAACACCTTCCTCCCTGGCCACATATTTCGCACAAAGAAGAAGCCCAAGATGCTGCAAAATATCTGTTTGGGTAAAACCCCAAAGGAACTGACCCATTGATCTCGAGGAAAAAGCACAGCACAAGTTCTCACTTACACAGCATGAGGCTCCTTGAACCGGCCAACTTGTTGGATGTGATACATGAGGTCCCCTCCGTTCACATACTCCATGACGAAGTACAGGCGGTCCTGGAGAGAGACAGCACATGGCAGCTCAGCACCCTGCAGCTCTTCGGGTCTCCATGGAGAGCAGGCGACAGCTGGAATTTAGATCCAAACCACCACGGCTCTCTGACAGGTCCCCATTTGCTGGGCCCAGTGATTCCTCAAGGGTGACATGTGTACCACCGGAAGTACCCGAACAAGCATAAGTGGGGTTCAAATATTTAACTGATAGTAACATATAGGATAAAGCTAATTTTAACAAAAAGTGGAAAGTATTCAGTGGTGGTAACCAGCTTCCAATGACTTTATTTTCACCTCCTGGTGTTCATGTTCTGGGTTAGTCTCTTCCCAAGATGAGTAGGACTGACTTATGTGATCAATAGGATATTATAAAAATGACAATGCATGATTTTTGAGGCCAGGTCACAAAAGCCCTCACAGTGCCCATCCCTCTCTCTTGGGTCACTTGCTGTGGGGGAAGCAGACCGCCATGTTAGAGGAAATCAAGTAGTGCTAAGTAAAGGGATATTTGGTGAGGGATCGAGGCTGACTGCCCACTGCCAGTGCCAACTCCCGTGAGTCAGCCACCTTGGAAAGGGATCCTTCTGGCCCAGTCAAGTCTTGAGCTGAGTGCAGTCCCACTTGATGGCAACTTCATTTGAGAACCAAAGCCAGAGTCTTTGGGAGCTAAGGCACTCCCCAATTCCTGAGCCACAGAAACTGTGAGACAGTCAGTGCCTGTTGTTTTAAGCCACTGAGCTTTGGGGTACTCGGCAGTAGATAACCCATCCAGTGGCTATCCAAACATGAGTTACCAAAGTTTGGAGAAACAGCAGGCTAGGAGGGCATATGCAGAAGTACAGGAATTAGAATCCAGGAGAAAAAAATTCAGACTCCATTCAGGGAATTTTTCCCGTCTTTCCAGCGATATTGTAAACTTCTTCAAGCCAGCAGCTATGTTCTCCTTAGCTACATAACCCGTTTCTGGTACCAAAACCAGCACATAGTAGGCACTCAGAGAGTGAGAGACCACAGACCTTGGAGACTATATTTAAAAACCAAGGCTTGGCCTCTGATATCTGGATGCAGCTCATTTAGCAACTGGGTTTCCTCATCCGTAAAGGGGAGATCATAACAGAACCACAATGTTGCTGTTGGGGTTCAATGACACCGACGTGTGTTACGGTCCTTAGGCAGCACCTATGTGTCACTAAGCATCTCTCCTTCCCTCCAGGGATGTCGGCTAAATGAATGAATGGCTTAGAGACTTCACTCCTTCATGAGACTCTCCTTTGTCTTGCAATGGCACTGTCTGCGCTCTTTGCAGGGAGCCGAAGGCCTTCATCTTTGCAGCTTAAAACTATCACTTCCTCTAACTCACCCAATCTAAATTCAGTCCATCTGTTATGCTCCTTCACGAGCCTCTGTGGGCTTTTCCTTCTGATCTCACCATCATTTGTAATTATATATTTAACTGGATGGTTATTTATTTCAGCTATTCCTTCATACATTGAGTAAAAAGTATTTAACAGAGCCTGACGAGGTACCAAGTTACATGTAAATGCTGAAGATACAGCAGTGAACAAAACCAACAAAAATCCCTGCCTTTATCTTTCATTCTAGTAGAGGGACACAGATGAAGAATGTTATACAGAATGTCAAGAGGTACTAATTACCATGAAAACAAACAGACAGGGCAAGGGGGATCGGGAGTGCCAGGCAGATGAGATGGGACAAAGCAGTCCCAATTTCAACAGAGTGCTCAGGATAAACCTTCTCACTGATGCTAAGCAAATATGTGAAGGAAGTGATGGACGCAGCTGTGCAGCTCTCTAGGGCAAGAGCTTAGTGCCAGCTACCGGAAGCAGTATATCAAAGCAAAGGGTCCAGGGTGGGCGCTGTGGCGCAGCGGGTTAACGCCCTGGCCTGAAGTGCCGGCATCCCATATGGGTGCCGTTTCGAGACCCGGCTGCTCCACTTCCGATCCAGCTCTCTGTTACGGCCTGGGAAAGCAGTAGAAGATGGTCCAGTGCTTGGGCCTCTGCACCCACGTGGGAGACCTGGAAGAAGCTCCTGGCTCCTGGCTTCAGATCAGTGCAGCTCTAGCTATTGCAGCCAATTGGGGAGTGAACCAGCGAATGGAAGACCTCTCTCTCTCTCTCCTCTCTGTGTAACTCTGACTTTCAAATAAATAAATAAATCTTAAAAAAAAAAAAAAGCAAAGGGCCCGAGGCGAGAATACAACTGTTGTGCTGTAGGAGCCACGAGTGCCTGGAGAAGACAGAGAAGGGACACTGGGTAGGAATGAGGCCAGAGAGGTGCTGAGGGACTCCACAGGCTAACACAAAAACTTAGGGTTCGTTGTGGAAGAAACTAATGCCAGATACGACTGCAAGTTCCACATAGCCAGGGACCATGTCAAATTTGCTTACCTCTATGGATCTGCACCAAGACTGGCTAAAAGGAGCCCTCAGTGACCCTTAACCAACTGAATGAATGAGTGATCCGAAAGGCAAGCAGCAGGTAGTGGGGCCTCCAAAGCACCAGTCCCATAGTCGGAACGGAAGCCCTGGCTCCACACTTTCTAGATGCCTAGACACTTGGAAAGATTACTGTAGATCCCGGAGCCTTGATACCTCCACTTATAAAATTAGGATAATGTAATCCTCCGTCTCTGACAAAGTGACTGAGGGGCTCCAATAACACACGTTCTGTGCTGCAAGCCATGAATGTGATGGAAATGAGATGTCCCATTTAAGCCAGATCAGAGCTCTTCAAACTCAAGTTGTAGCTCAACTTAATTGATCAGTGAATAAATCTGAAGGATCATGACCAACTTTAAATGGGAAGGGAGGGAGGAAGTAAAGGAGGGAGGAGTGAAGGGAATGAGAGGGAGAATGGAATAGAAATGATCAGAATATTTTTCTCAGAGTACCATTCAGCATTCTTCAGTGAAATCTGTCTCTTGGTTATATTTACGTATTAGTGTAACTGGTATGAAATGCAAAGGTGGTTGCAAAGGTTCTTACTAGGAGAAATGTGGTGGGGAAGTGATGTGCAGGGCAAAAGGTTCCACCTTTGAAATCGGTGTATGACTTGCAGCCTCTCCTCACTCTTACTATCTGTGCAACACTGAGCAATCACTTAACCTCTCCCGTCTCCACCTTTCTCTTCATCCACTTGCTGGGGTGTAAAAACAAGACGACTTATGAAAGCTGTCCCAGGTGATGATGACCATATATACAACAACAATTCCATTCACCACTTAAGACGTCTCCCTGACTGTGCCCATGTGTAGCAGTCATCTGAACATTTGCCAAATGTGTATCCTGTGCCTGATAATCATAATAACAAAGCTACCAGCCTTGGGGTTTTTACTGGGCACCTGAGTTAAGTATGGTCTATATTTTGTCTTGCTTATTGTTTTAAACAACCCCATGTGACAAGCCTTTTCATTCTTCTCCTTTTAAAGACATGGGAGTTAGTTGAATGTCAGCAAGAGCAAATAGCTTGCCAAGGGCAACTCAGCTAGTAGGTTGCAGAGCTAGGATTTGAATCTAGACAGTGTGATTCCAGAGTCTACACGCACAGCCTCTCCTGCCGCCTCCAGGGAATACATCTTGCATGTAGGCTTCCAAGCTAGAAGTCAGATGAATGTGTGGATGTGCCTTCCCCTCCAAGAGCTTCCTGTACAAGAAGGCAGAGAAGAAGAGATCCAGCCATGGATCAAGACAGCAACTGGGGAGCTACAGAAGAGGACTGCAAGTTTGTAAATCTAAAATTTCGTAAAATTGACTTGAGGAGGACAGAGAAAGAGAAAGGGGAGGGGAGAAGGAAGGGGGTGGGGAGAGAGAGAGAGAGAGAAGCCTTATCCACAGACTACTCCTCAAATGCCCACAAAAGCTGGGCCTGGGCCAAGGCTGAGCTAGCCTGAAGCCAAAAGCCAGGAATTCAACCCAGGTCTCCTAGGTGGATGGCAGGAATCCAACTACTGGAGCCAGCACTGCTGCCTCCCAGGGTCTGCATCAGCAGGAAGCTGGAGTCAGGAGCCAGAGCCATTTTCAAACCGGGATATGCCAGTGTGGAATGAGGGCATCTTAGCTGCCAAGCTAAATGTTCACCTCCTTTCTCAGATGGATACCACTTCACCCTCTCAACATCCCTCAAGAGAGGCGCAGAGTTCCAAGGGGCCAAGGCACACATGGTTTGCAGAAAGGTCACAGACAAGGTGGTGGTGGACAGTAGAGAGTAAGACAGAGCTGCCGACACTCAGCCCCTGGTTATTTTTTTTTTTTTACAAAAAACAAGCCTAAAAATAGCATCTGTCTTTGCTGCACATTGAAGAGAACCAAAACACTTGCTTTTAAAATTATTTTTATAACTAGCAGATGGCATCGGCCACACAGAGAGAAGTGAGGCAGAGAATTCACTTGCTTGCTTTCTGCTTGGAAGAACTCAACTTGCCCCCCAAACTCATTAGTGGGAATCCCAACATTGGGGATAGCTCCACGGTGGTAATGCTTCGTGGTCTGTTTCTATCACTAACCATCTGCAGGGAAGATCCACGGTCTCTGAACTGGGCCGAGGCCAGCTCGGGTCCATCAGTGCCTCAGCTTCTCCGTGCTATGGTTGGCATCTCACTGTGCTTTCATTTCTGAGCCAGGCTCTATTCCATTGCCAGAGATACTGCTGTGAATAATCCATGGTGCCCAGTGTTAAGGGCTCCCAGAGGACTCTCCAGATGAGTAGACGAGTACAAACGATGATGTTTTCCAAAATGAGATAGGAAATAATAGAATGCATATGTTTTCACCTTTATACTTTTGTGTTCATTTTAATGTGCATTGTGAAAAATGAAACTAAACGCTTTCTTTAAGACCATGATTTTATGGCTATTATTGCGGCAGGGGCAGATTGAAATGTGTAAAAGAAGGCCCCAGCAGGGTTAGAGTAGGCACTACACAAGGTCATTGACTTCCAACGCCCTTCAAGACCTTTACCAAGTTTGTCGGTCTCTTCTACTA